AGATTTCTTTACAATAATAAGGAGCAGGAATCAGAAATAACGGAGTTATTGACGATATGCGAGCAAACACGAATTTATTCTTTTCAGGAATTTTTACGATTTATATAAAATCTATATCAACGAAAATAACTCACTTCAAATTTTAGAGACTGAAATAGTTAGCAGTTTATATATTAGTAATAAATTAAATTTATGAATTTCATTAGATACGGTTATATATACCTGTTCGGCTTGAGCTAAAGCCAATCCAACTTGAATAAGTAGACTCCAGGCTTGTTCCCAATTCTTTAGCTTAAAGTCTTCAAGGGAAATTCCTCCATGCTCAACAACAAATATTACATAAAGTTGTTTGGCATCGAAATAATCTAATGAATATCAGTCGGTTAATATTTTTGAAAATTGTGAGTACAAGTGAAATACGAATTATATAACATGAATACCAGGGCGATCGTTCTCTGAATTAAATTCTGCATCCCATCTATCCCATTCATCAAGTAATTCTATAGGATATTTACCACGACATATACCGACACTAATAGCTCAAATGTTATTACACGTTTTTATTGATGCGATTATTGGAATCATTCCTTACATAGGTAATTATGAATATAATTAATCTTCATCGAAATTCACTTTACTGAAATTATACATTTCATGTTTCATATTAAAGGTGATATTCTTGATGTTTTATATAAATCAAATTTGTACAATTTGTACCTGCTCGAATCTTGGTTGAAAGAAAAGTATGGACAAAATATACATATATACAGTTCAGATAACAATCAACAACGTTCCCATTAATAAAACACTAAATTATGTAATCAAAATCTAAAAATGTTAAAATTTTGGTTTAATAAATTTTCATTGGTTGCAGTTAATATATTTTTTTGTTTATATCCGCCAGAAGTCATCACTTGTTATCGTGTCAATTGCGCTCCTGTAACCTCCTTTATTTAATGCACGTTTCCTGAATCCAGTAATTGCATCGAAATATCGATGTTGTTCACTGAGTTTCCTTGGCTTTGGTAACTTCTTAGAGGTTAAGAGTTTATCCGCGAGATAATGCAGCCACTAATAGCGTACACTATGTGTTTAAAAATTGAACGGACCAATTGAAAGCAAATTAAATATAACACTAATTAAACTTACAAATACATTCGTTTTTGGGCAAAATGACCTCCAGTCACCCTTAGTCTCTTCACGCATCATGCGGTAAATATCGAACTGATAATCTCCTGCAAATCCGTACAATAAATTAAAAATATTTTTTAAACATTACAAATCAAATTCACGTACCCTGGCCTGTAAAGTATCCTTCGTCTGAAATATCAACGTAGATAATCCCATTTTCTAAATATATAGGAAAATGGT